AGTCTTTTTTCCCACCTTGATATGATGTGGTTGTCACTAAGGCTTCTCCCAGGTCTGAATTGTTGGAGAAACTGAAAGCTGCAAGAAAATGGGTGAATCACCTGGCAAACCTCTAAGTCCCGTGCACACACGCCCAGCTGAGCACAAGCCAAGAAGCCTCTTATCACTATTAAAACCTATTCTCAGGGTTATACAATTGTTTGTATCCATCAGATTTGTAATTCTACTCCTGTGAGTTCACTGTATAGACATAAATTCCTTAGGAAGGAGGAAAAAGCTACATTAAAAAAAAAAAGTAGCTCTTTAATTCAAAATTTGATGTGTGCTCATAACCATTAGTAGGAGGATAGACTAGGACATTTGGTGAGCTGTTTTAGTCTTGAGAACTACAAGGAGAAATGCTTTTGACATCCTAGAAAAGCAAAAGATATTTGCCCTGTGGATTGCAAGTATGTATGTGAACAAGAGAATATAAATGATCAAATACTCGTAATGCACCTTCTAATGGGTCAGGCATAGTGCTAGGCTTCTGATTACCTAAATCATCTCACTCATACTTCAGAACAGCCATGAGGATAGGTACTATCATTACTAATTATAGATTATGAGCTTTTGGTTCAGAATGGTATGGTTACTTGCCAGAACACCACTGCAGTGAAGGGGCTAGTGTTCAAGGTTGAAACCTAGGTATAGTTGATTGTTGTGAGTATAGTTATGGTATATAAAGTCTCTGAGTCTTTGCAAACATTGTATTCACAAATACTAAATAATTGTTCTTTTTTTTTTTTTTTTTGAGAGGTTTACGCTATAGGGCGCCTGCGCTCGCCAGCCACCAGAGAGAGACATAGAGACAGAAAGCGAGAAATCACCCCCCAGGGGGGATGGTCATGCCACAATCACTTCTCCTCCATTCTCCTCTCGGGATCTTGGGCATGCACACACACGCGCCTGGCATGAGTTTTAAGCCACCGGGTCCAGGACGCGAACTGCGGTTGACTACGTGGGAGTCTAGTGACATAGCCATTATGCTAACTGCTGGTTCCCTAAATAATTGTTCTTAGAGGAAATAGAGACAGAAGTTCCTGCAAGCCTCTACCTTAAAACATTTTCATGAACTGGGACCAGGAGTTGGCATAATGGCTATGTCACTGGACTCCCATATAGTTGACCGCGGTTCAAGTCCCAGACCCCGTGGCTTAAACTCATGCTGGGTGTGTGTGCGTGCCATGCCCAAGATCCCAAGAGGAGAGTGGAGGAGAAGGGATTGTGGTATGCACAGAAGACCTCAGGATACAATCTCCTGGCCATCTACCCGGGGGGGGGGAGGTGATTTCTTGCTTTCGTCTCTCTGTCTCTCTCTGTCTTTCTGGTGAGCACATGCACCCTATAGCAAAAACCTGCCCCCCCCCCCAAAAAAAAAGACATTTCATCAACTGACCAATATATAAGCTTGTTTCATATTATGTTTTTGTTTAAAGACACCTATTTACTACATATTGGTGATTCATAACGTTGAACTCATGGCCAGTAGTGCTATAACTCATGCTCAGATGAAGCCTAGCTAGCACGTATATTTTTTTCTGTAAGACACACCACAACTTCTTGCATTTAGAATACTAGATGGCACTTAGGGCCATTTGAAATAGTGAAGTCACCAATGAAAAGCCCAGGAATGTAGAAGGATAGTACCAAGTAGACTACAAATAGGTTACTATCTACAGCATGAAAGCTGAAATAGGAAGGTAGAGGAACTGGATTATGGCATGGTAGTAAGATGTGACAGTCTGTAAGGCTGACCCATGTGTGAGGGGGTTCTGAGTTCACATCTGGACACCCTCTGCAGAGTGTGCATATGCCCATGACCCAGGACTTCTGAAGCAGGGGGTGGATCGCAGTTCTAAGACCCTGCTGGGGAGCTGTCACTTAGTCTCTTTTACTGTCTCTCTTGCCTGTGGAAGAAATAAATGACATGAAATAAAATAAAATAGAAGTTAGAGTGTTGCCTTGTTTCATGTCAGTTGAGAACAGGTGCTTTGGTAAGCTCATAATTTTCACCAGTCTGTATATGTCTGTGAATGACTGAACTTGCCATGAATGTTGATTTTGGGGGTTACAAAAAATTTTAGCAAACAGACAAATTTAAAAACACAGAGTCTATGAATAAAAATTGACTGTATATTCATATGGCAAATTTGTATTGGGTATCTATCACATGCCAGACACTGTTCTAAGCTCTGAAGATTCTGTGGTGAACAAATACAGCTTCTGCTAACAGACCTAACATTCCTGGGGAGTGGTAAATGCAGATAGTGCATCATGGTCAGATGGAGATAGTTTATGGAGACAGATTTTACTGGGAGTGGCTTGAGGAGAGACAGGTGGGGGTGGTGGGGAGGCTGGGAGGTAACACCTGAACAGACACTCAAAGGAAATCAAGTCATAGGGACATGTGTGGGAAGAGAGATTTGGGAAGGGGAACAGGAAGCATGGTTGCTGAGCAGCAGGCTAGTTGGCTGGACCTGGGGATGGGTTGGGAGAGGGGAAGTCAGAGAAAGGGTGGGACAGCAAAGGAGGTAGAACTGTCTTACTCCAGAGCCTGGGCTCTTGAGAACAACATGGCATGAAGACGCCGAGTGTCAGCACTGGAATGCTAAGTGGTTTTAATGTTGGCAAAAAAAAAAAAAAAATAGCGTTGCGAAGTTGCTCTTGGGAAAAACTCAGGTAAGTTCCAAAGAGTCTTTGCAGAGAAATGGAGGCTTTGCCGACACACCCAGATTTCCACTTCATGTGAAGTTCAAACATCAGGCACCTCAAGTTGCTACGTTTAGGGAAGTGTCTTAAAAAAATCAATGAGAGCACGGGTGAGATTCACTGGGAGATAACACGGCCTGGGGCTGCAATATTGAGAACAATTTCATCAGCATCTGCAGGGCATCTGAGGAGAAGTTGGTCACAACAAACAAACCATCCCCAGGACAACAGGAGGAGCTGAGACGGGAAGCAAGTCCACACAGTGAGAATTAGCTTGTGGAAAAACGCTGCTCAGCCAGTGCTGAGTTTTGCCCACTGTGCTTGTCAAATGCCACAGCCCTTGCTGGAGCCAGCTGCAAAGAATATTCAGAGCTGGAGATCCTAAACTCAACCCTCCCCATTGACTGATAGGGAAACTTAGATCCAGAGAGTGAAAGTGGTGGGCTTCCAGTCAAACACCATGGGAGCAGCTGAGCCAGGACTGGAATTAGCTCACCAAATGTCACCCTAGACAGTTATTACGAGAATGTAGAAGAAGAAATTTGACAAAATTCCCAAGTTTTCAGAAAAGCCATTGACTGTAGCAGCTGCTGCGGTTGTGCCCATGCTTGCAACAGCAGCAGCCTCTACAATTCTGTGCAGATATTTATTTTTTTTAAACCTGGTTATTTTCAACATCAGGCTCTCAGAGTGCCCTGTGGAAATTTGTGTGGCCATAATGTGAATTAGTCCCAAGAGAAATGTTCTCCATCAGCAAAGGTGGTCACTATCGGTGGAGGAGTCAAAAGGAATTAAAATCCTGTCCCACGTTCTTCAGATTTCACTGGGCAGTTCCTTCATGGTTTTTTGTTTGTAGCCCTGTAGTTTGTAGAACTCTCTAGCTTCAGGAGTCTAGAGATCCTGTTAGGCAGTGAATCCCAAAAGTAGTTGAAAGTGGTTGGTCAGGGGCAGTACTGTGATGGTAAACCAGCACTGTGGGGGATGGGGAAAGAAAGTCTTGATTTGTTGTGCTTGCCACTACTTGTGGTGTAAATATTGGGTCCTTGGAAAAGCCATTACACATTTTTGCATAGACAAGAAGAAGTCATGACTTTTCTGATGACCCAATACTTTATTATGATGAATTTCAAGAAACCAGTTATTAACAACTGGCTTGCAGAATTCCTGAGAGTTCAATAATCTGCTCTTAAGAGCCTACTGCAGCCATGCCCAGCACCCCTCTGTAGCTCTCTGAATAGAGCAAACTCAGGGATGGAGCTGGAGGGTGCGAATGTGGTTTATCTTGCTTAGTTTGGTAAGGTCAAACTACACTTGGGAGGGTATGTCTGGTGTCAAATTCTAGATTTAAGAAGGTCATCAACAAACTGAAAATTAATTAATATTTAGTTAGAGGAAGAAGCAATCTCATCTGAAAAAGTCATTAGGAAACTATTGCTGGGTTAAGAATCCAGGAGAAGAAATACACAGGATAGCCTGGACATCTTTTCCAAATCTTTGTGAGACTGTGAGATACTTCTTCTGAACAGTAGAATCTGAATGAATGGGACGTAGGAGGTGTCTAGAACAGAGAGGCTGTTTTCAGAGCAACCTCAGAATTTTCTGATAAAACTGCCGGAAGAAAGGCAGTGCTGCCTGGTGCCATGGGAAGCGTTTGATCCCCCAGGTATAGTGGGGCAACCACTAGGTGGGGCTGTGGCTGTAAGGACCCCTTTAGCTCTTGAGAATCCTGCAATGGACTCCTCTTCCTTTTCTTTTTTCTATTTAACCAGTTTCCTCTTACTTTTTGTTTCTTTTTATTTTCTTTCCCCTGGCCAGTTGCCAGAGGCTTATTTACCCAGGTTAGCTACGTTAGTAGACAGTGACCGCTACAGCTTTCCCCAGAGAAGAGAACAAGCCCCTTAGCTTTCTCCTGACCACTTACACACCAGGAGAACACACAATCCATCTCCCCCCGCCCCCTCCCACTTTTTTTCCTCTTTTCCAATCTTCTCAGCTCCACATTTTGGAAGAAGGGTAAATAAACAAATTGAAACTGAAACTGAATGTTGGCCATAAAGTGGGGACATCTGGGAGGCTTGTAAGGAAATTTACATGCTTGCCTGGTTTCAGGTTACATATTTTTTGTTGCCTGGTAACGAGCCCACAGTTTTCTTTCATGCATTATTCTCCCCCTATCCCCTGTTTATAGTGTAATTATCACTGTGACATCATAATCCCCCATTGAACAGCTGTCAGGGGGGCCCCACTGCTGAGTAAACAGGGCTTTACAATCTCTCCTCCCACAGGCTGGTTTACTAAATAGATCAATATTTGGTTTGTAGGCACAGAGATTAGGAGGTGGAAGTGCGTTTTGAAAAAGCCCTCTCTCTTCCTCGGGCCCCCAGCACACCTGAGAATGCTGGAAAGAAAAGCCAGGTTCATGAACAAAAAAGGAATCATCCAAGCTGCTTTCACCTGCCCCCGATTTCCCAAGGAGCTGCTCATCTTCAAGAAGTGAGACCTATTTGAGAATTAGTAATGTTTAGGTTCTTTATTCTAATGCTGAGAGAATTCTACCTCTCTCTCTCTGCCTCCCTCTTATCTTCCCTTTCTCCATCCCCAATCCCATTTCACTAATCTTTCTAAATGGATATTATAGCCTCAGGGAGGAAAAGCGTGATGCATGGATAAACAGAAACTAAGCTCTGACCCTGCCCCCACCTCCCACCAGCGGCTTTCCCACCCTGCTCTAGGATTATGAACTCCACAAAGAAAGCAGCTTCCAAGGTTTCTTTGTTCCACTAGAGCTTCCTGGGGGATAGTCTGGAAGAGGTGCACTGAACCCTTACTTTTCCCGAATCAGGAAATGGCTAAAACGCCAAAGGAGCAGAGAATTTTGAGCATAGGCGTGAGCCTCCGAAGATGTCCGTTCTAACGCTAGCTGCCTGTACTTGCTCTGTGACCTGGGATAAGTTCTTTGCGTATTCAACATAGAACTGGCCTGCAAGGCTTTTCCCAGGAAGGTGAAGTGAAGAGTCAGATTGAGCAGGCCTCAATAGCTGGTGCTGATATTATCAACTGCAAAGCCCCCAAAACACAACCCATCCATTGGTGAGGCATTTGCTTCATTGTGAAAAAAAAAGGGGGGGGTGTTAGCCCATCGCTGTGAAGATTAAATGAGATAATGGCACGTTATTGGGGGTTGCTATTACTTGTGTTTGTGTTTCTGTTCTTTTTTCTGTTTTCCTTCCTTTCTGAGAGAGGGACCCCGGACAGGATCTTGATCTCCCACTCCCTGCCTTTCAGTCAGCCTGGATCATGGGCACACTATGGGCATGCCTGGTATGTTCAGGTTCACCCAGGACCCAAACCCCAAGCCTTCCCATATGGCTCCAGTTTCATGCTGTGGTGAAACCTCTGCCACTGTGGCTGGGCCACATAGTGGGTGTCTTTTCAAACTAACATTGTGTAATTCCTATAAAAAACAAAACTATGGTAAAGAAAGGCTTGGACATAAAATTAGAAGGAATAAGAAGAAAAATAACAGTAATAATCAACACCTATGAAACCCATTCACAGGATCAAAGCCCCTTTCCATACATAATCTCAGATTATTGTTAAGACTGCAAAGAAGGAGAAAACACCTCATTTGATGATCTCTTAGAATGGGCTGTTCAGTGTGCTTATTTTTTTACCAACCTCATTTTGGTGATTTATTTTCCCTTGTCTCAGAATAATCAAGATTTAGAGAAGTGAAGTGACATGCCCAAGGTTACCCGATTGCAGAGCGCTGGACCAACCTCAAGTCGATCTGGTTCTAAACCTCTTAGGTTTTTCTCTATGGCACAGACATAGCCAGACCAATGCAGAAAGAGAGGCAGCCAAACAATGAGGTGCTAAAAGTTAATGACCTCGGTGAAGGAAGGGAGTATTTACACAACACCCAATGCTTCCTTCAAGGTTGTCATGCAACACCATAGTACTTTGCTGATTCAGTCATTTCAGAATAATTACAGTCTGTCTCTGAAAAATAAAACACAATTGGCTGTTGTCTCTAGGACTTTGTGAGACTTCCTTTAGACAGGGGATTGTAAAAGGCCTACATATCTAGAAGTGCCTCCCGAAGGCCTCATGTAGAGAATGAAGGAGACAGTAGGCTACCACCAATGGTTGGGGAGAAGTCAGCATCCAATGGCCTCCAGAAACAACTGGGTGCCCTGACTACCACCAGCAGCTGATAATCCCACTACTCTATCTGGCTGGTGGCTTTTTCTTTGAAAGATTGTTATGGTTTCAATTCAGTTTCATATAGATCAATGTGTAGATCTGTACAGTGATAACATTCCTTCATGCTAAGTCTGTCCAAGATAACTAACCTGTTTCCAAGATCTAATTTTGTACGTGGGAATCTTGCCTTGCCCTGATTTCCAGACCCATAGCAGGCTTGGCAGGCAGTAGCTGGGGGAGCTCCATGATAGCCCTGGTGCCCTGAGCCAGGCATCCTCCTCCTCCACTGTTAGGCAGAAGCACCTGTCCTGCCACAGGAGGCACTGTTTTTTGCTGACAAAGTTCAGTTTCTCTGAAGGGGAAGCTATGATGCAAGACCCCTTGAATAGCTCAAAACCCATGATTAGTTGTCAATAAATGAAATGCACTGTGAGTCCTTCGTATATCAGCTTCTGTGAATTATATATAAAACAAAACACCAAAACACACACATGTGCACACAGATACACAATTGTTCTGACCTTTTAGAGACTCTCCATAAACCAGTAGTTCTCAAACTACAGCATGTATGAAAATCACCAGGAGGGACTGTTAAAACACAGATGACTGAGAACAGCCTGTGGTATCATGGTTAAGGTGGCTGGATCTCACACTGTGTAGTTCGAGTCTTGGACCCAGTGACTTGAGAAACACACCAGGTACATGTGTCTCTAGCATCCTGAAAGGAAGGAGAAATGGAGAAGGGATTGTGGTATGACCATTCCCCAGGTGGGGTGCTTTCTCAGTCTCCACTCTCCTACTGGTGAGCACACATGCCTTCTGCCAAAATTAAAACCAAAAACAAAAAACAAAGCAACAGGCTACTGGATTGTATCCTCAGATTTTCTGATTTAGTACTTCTGGAGTGCGGACTGAGAATTGGTATTCCTCATCAATTCTCAGGTGATGCTGATGCTGCCAGTTGGATACCCACTCTGGGGAAAACACTCATCTCAACCTTCCACAGCTGCTGGAGTTTGTAGTCATTGGTGGCTGATTTTCTTTCAACTCTCTTTCCATATTATTTTTCATAGGTGGCCATTGGCTGATCTCCATCAGACTTTTGGGAGTGCCTTTCTCCTTATCAGCAAGAAGGTAAGTCAGCTGATTTATTTAGCTGCATTTTCCATATTCTCTTGCAACCTGTATTATTTCAACCCATAGATGTGGGAAAATCTCTAATCTTCTTTGCCCCTTATAACTCTGCATCTTCAGACTTGCCATTTACTTTCTGGGTCAGAAAATCTCCCTGGCTGATGAATGCTCGATTGTATGTTATAGTGGGACTCATGGCATGGCCCCAGGAGAGTCATCCCTGAACAACCTACCCAAACATAGATGATTTTCTTTCTCTTTAATCTTATAGCTATTAGTATAAACTTTCATTCCAGTTGTTACTGTATTATAATGTCAGGCTCTATTTGCACGCTTCCCCTCCCCACTAGACAAGGAGATACTGGAAGGCAGAGACAAGGTTTAACTCAATTTGAGGTTATCTAAGTACCAAGAATAGTGGGTCTCAACCCTGCCTACACCTTAGAATCACCTTGGGAACTGGTAAGGAATTCCAATCCTTAGGTCTTTATCCAGGCCAATGAAAGAAGACTCCCCAGGGAAAATGAAGGTTTTCAGCCTCCAGACTTTCTAAGGAGAATATTTTGAGAGCCTAATGTGTTCATTCTGATTTTGTGCCTTGGTAGTACTGTTTCTTGTCTGAAAGGAATAGATTTTATAATTTCTGTTTTGTACGTGAAGAAAATGTTTTAAGAGAAGATTATTGATTAAGTAAACCATCGGTTCACTTACTTATCCTTTATTCATTCATTCAGCCATCATTTAACAAATCTTTTTGTAGTTTTCACCATGGGCCTGGACACAGTAATAAACAATAACAGACATTGCTCCTGGTCTCTTGAAGGTTTCAGCCTGTTGAGTGGTATCGTCTGTGATCAATTATCCAAATAAATGTAGAATCGCACTCCTAGTAAATGCCAAAAAGAGAGAGTTTTACTCAGGGGAAAGAAATACATACCTTTAGGATTTGTAATAAGGGAGGAATTGTCTGAGTCCTGGAGGCCAAGCGTGGCTTCCCCGGAAAAGGTCAGCTAACTGGAGGGCAGCAGGGTGAGGTGTCTACTGGGCAGAGGACAGAGTGTTGAAGAAGCTATGGAAGCTGGCCAGAACCACAGTTCCTATCCACCCCTTAGCTTTTCTCCGCCACTCTCCTGGGGTGGCAAGCAGGATTTTAGGGAAATGTGAGTAGGTGTGCATGATAGTGTAAGTACATATACATGTACCTATGCATATGCATGCATCTACAGACATAAATACATATGGTACACGCATATATGCATACTTGCATGTGCATGCATGTGCACACATGTGCGTTTTTCTCAGATTAGAGCTGGGCTTGCTGCTCAGGGCTATGTCTTAATGATGATACCTACAGCCACCTTTCTCTAGGAATCTTGGAACAAGTTTTAAACCCCATTATCTCACTGTCTGGAGGCCTCTGATAAATAATGTCTCTTTATCACAGTGGCATGAGGGAGGCTATGGAGTGCAGGCAGCCAATAGGCAGGAGCTTTAAAAAAAAAAAACAATTTCATTTTAGAGTCCATCAGGTGGCATAGTGGTTAAGGCACTCGCCACCTACATGACTGACCATGGTTTGAATCCTGGACCCAGCAGGTTGAAAATCACATCAGGTTGGGACCAGCAATTAGCATAATGGCTATGTCTCTGGACTCCCATGTAATCGACCGTGGTTTGATTCCTGGACCCAGTGGCTTAAACTCACACCAGGCATGTGTGTGTGCATGCCCAAGATCCTAAGAGGAGAATGGAGGAGAGGGGGAAGGGATTGTAGTGTGACCATCCCCCTTGGGGGGTGATTTATCTCTTTCTCTCTCTGTCTCTCTGGTGAGTGCATGTGCCCTATAGAAAAATCTCAAAAAAAAAAAAAAAGAAAGAAAGGAAGAAGATCACATTAGGCATGTATGCCCAAAATCCTGAGAAGAGAATGATGGAGGAAAAGGGATTGCACCATGGCCAGCCCCCACTCAGGGGTGGGGTGATTTCTCACTTTCCCTATGTCTTTGTTTCTCTCTGGCAAGCACACATGTCCGTGACAAAAATCCTAAAGAAAGAAAGGAAGCAAGGAAGGAAAAAGAAAGAGAGAGAGAGAGAGAGAGAGAGAGAGAGAGGGAAGGAAGGAAGGCACTTTAAATAGTGGGGAGAACACTTTGGTCCTACATAATATATAATCAATATCAATGAACCTGGCCTTTAGGTGTTGCTACCAATAAGAGCCTGTGGCTATCCAAAGGGAAAGCTGCTCATGCTTGTCAGGGTAAAATAAAATCTCCTAAACTTTCCACATGTGACTGCCTCTCCAATTTTTTGTAGTATTTTGTGTGTAAAAAAATTATTTAGGAAGTAAACATAGTTAAGGACTCTGTATATCATAATCTTTCAGAAAAAAAAATATAAATGCAGATTAATGAAATGAAGTCCCAAATTTTTCATGAAATAAGAATGGCTGAAACAAGGCCCTTTTGCAGAGTAAAATGATATGAGGTAATAAATTGCAATCATAACAGCTACCATAAGTACCTTTTTGAACATTTATCTGTATCAGATAAGTGTATCTGTATTTTTAATGTATCAGATATTTTATTTATTTTCATGACAGGAAATTTCCATAACAACCTCGATTTTGTAGAAGAAAACTGAAATTCAGGGAAGTTAAGTAGCTACCCCCAGGTAGTACAAGGACCCAAGGGATTCAAGTCCACCTGATTCTGAGGCTCCAGCGTTAACAGTCCTTTGGACATTTGCACCTCTATTTTTTTTCTCCTGTCAAATGGATTGAGCAATAGTCATCCCTTTATATGCCTTGAAGCGTTATGGAATAACTGTCATTAGCGATAATCATGCTAATACTGTGTATCAGTTTGAGTAGCACTTTAGTTTCCAAAGTGCTTTGTCTCTTGAGTCCCATTCAAACAACACAGAGACCTTGTGACATAGATAAAACACCATACTCATCTTCCAGATGAGAAAGCTGAGGCTCATGATTTGCCCAAGGTCATAGCTGTAAAGAATGGTAGCACCAAAAAATTCATACCAAGGTCACTGTTTGGTCTATCGAATGTCCCCTGGCTCTCTAATTACCAAGTAATTATAATAGACTCAAGGTTCCCCATGGGAAGGGAGCACGCACAGTGTCATGTAACACAGGTGGCTATTATCTTTGTTGCCTTGCTTGTTATTAGTTGTTGTTAAAGGGCAAAAGGGCACCTGTGAATTTTTTTCCTTTTTTTTTTTTTTTTTTTTACCTTCAGCAGGTCATCTTTTTTCTTCTGTTAGTCAAACCTTATCCTCCTTCATCTTTTGGTTACTGAGACCATGGTGTCCATTTCCAGGGCTCCCATTTGCTCATGTTCCCAGAAATTGTGCTCTAAACCCTATTATGTGTTTGGTGGTTGCTCAGGAGCTCTTTTCTTTGAGTGAATCGGAGGAAGTTGGGGTACTCAGCAATTTAATTAATACGTGACTGATCAAAATACTCATTAACTTGCCCTCTGAATGTAAACTGGCACGAGAGCTAGCCCCTAGAAAAGTTGGATTACAATTGGGAGCGTTCTTGACTTCTATGGTTGGCCAAATGGATAGGTAAAAGCCATTTGGGAAAGTAGAAAGCAGCCTCTCGGGGCAGGTGAATAAACTCTTCATGAGAAATAAGAGCTCAGGGTCACAGTGGTCACACATTATGCATTAGACAGTGTGGAGGTTTTTCCATTGCTGGAAATCTAATTCTTAAAAAGTTGATCTTGGCCATAGGTGGTGTTATTTATTGGGATCCAAAAAGTTGATCTTGGCCATAGGTGGTGTTATTGATATCCGTTGACTCAGAAAATATTGGAATTTAGATAGGATCTTAGGAGCATTCTGACAAAAATAGGTAATAGTTCCAAAAGAGATCATTTCAGGAGAACTGAAGGAGCAGGGTATAATTTAAATTGGAAATGGCAAAGAAGGAAGTGATATACTCAGTTATATTCTGAAACGATCATGTGTTAGAGACAGGAATCTTCTCAGTAGGTTGAAGGCAGTAGAATGACCAGAGTATCCCTCCCTTTCCACCGTTATCCTGGCAGCCATAACATAGGAAATTCTTTCACTTTAAAAAAGTATTGCTGTGCTGTCCCTGGCCCTGGGGTAATACACTACTCAAGGGACACCAGATAGTACATGGCAACTGCAGTTAAGGCCCTGGCCAGGGCCTTAACATACCTGAAACATGCCAGGTATGTGTGTGAGTGCTTAATATCCAACAGGCTGGTGAACTGGAAGATGAGGATCCAGCATGACCAGACCCTGTGGAAGGTGCTCTTCTCTCTCTCTTACTTTCATGTGCACACGCATGAGCTCTATCATGAATTAAAGATTTAAAAAAGTATTTCTTTTTGACTTCTATTTCTGATTGATGAGATGATAAAAGTCTCTTTGGTGGACATTTCTGTTTTTAATAGAATAAACAATACCATTCAGGAATGATATCAGTGGTCTTTCTCTCTGGGTTCTCTATACTCAAAAGAAGTTGTGAAGCTCTAGGCAACGGGAAACTGCCAGGCCCAACTCATCTCAGGTGTGAGTCCGAATATCTAGAACTTAGAGAAAAGAAAAAGAATCTCATCTCATATTTCTTAGCACCACGTTTCCACCAATAATATTAATATTCAGACTTTTGTTTGACTCATAGATTCAGAACCCAAATGACAGACAGTGTGATTAATTAAACCCTAAGCAACCCCAATAAGAGTGTGCAAGTAGAATTATAGTGTAGTCTTAAGAAATTCTTCCTTTCATGATTATGAGGTATAGTTAGAAATAGATCATGCTGAAAAAGAATCTTTTTTTTTTTTTTTTTTTGAGAGGTTTTTGCTATAGGGCACATGTGCTTGCTGGAGAGACAGAGAGAGACAGAGAGAAGGAAAGTGAGAAATCAACCCCCAGGAGGGATGGCCATGCTGCAATCCCTTCTCCTCCATTCTCCTCTTAGGATCTTGGGCACACACGCACACACGCCC